CGTGCTTACCGTCGCGTCGTCTCGGTCGCGGAAGTACCCTGCGGCCGGCCTGCGTCGGTTGGAGCCTTTGGGACCGTCGGATTGCGATTGTGCTGCCGCGGCCAGGGCCACCGGAAAGAGTGTTGCTAGTTTGTCGTCGGAGACCGGGCGTCCTAGCGAGGCGTCTTCCAGAGCCGTGATATTCGCCGCAAAGGTCTCATAGTCACTCAACTGATCGGTTTCGGCGTCGCGATCGACCGCGTATGCTCGTCGATTTTCAGCGCGAGGCCTGCGCTGCCAGGCGGTCCTGGTATCCAGCGCGAAGTCTTTGGCCTTGAGAGTTGGTGAACGCCGGCGGGCATCGTGTTCCGACATGTGCACGAGGTCAGCCTCCTTATCCTGTGCTTGTTGTAGGAGTGCTGTGAGAGTGGACAAGGAGTCCGCATTCAGGATTGTCGACCACATCGGTGGCGCTCGCTGCATGACCGCCCTGATGACTTCCTGGGCTGGTCGCCTGCCTTCGTGAAGGTGATCGTGTAGGATGATTCGCCGGATGATGAACTCGCTAGGCGATTCCGTCGTGTGGTCTGGCTCTCTGAAGGCCTGGCGGTCGTAGACGTTCCGGACATCGTCCATGAACTTCGCCGTGAAAAAGTGCAGGCGGATTCCTTCACGCATGTTCCACCAATTCTGAAGGTAGAGGTGTTGCACTTGCGGGTCCAGGACGTGCCACCATTGACGTGCGAACCTCGTGAACTTCTGTGGTGCTAATAGCGCTAGCTCCGTGGCCATTTTCTCATTGATATATGCGAGTTGTGTCATCTCATGCAGGAAATTGATGAGGCGTTTGGGCGACCCGTCCCATTCGGGTATGATATTCTTGTCGAACTTGACGTCGAAGCGCGGCTCTTGCGATTGTCTCACAACGATCTGGGGGATGCCGTGCGGGAAGAGGGTTGGTATAATGCCATATGGATCTGGGTCATCACCGGGAGGTCCTCCTCCTCCTGGGGGCGTTGGATCTGGGGTCCTTGTGCTGGTGGTCCGCCGCCTCGCGCGGGTCCGTGCGGCGGAGGTTGATACGGCCCCCGTATCCTCCGTTCGGCGGTCCCCCTGGTGGCCCCCTGGTGGTCCCCCTGGTGGTCCCCTAGGTGGTCCTCTCGGCGGCCCCCCTGGTGGTCCTCCTGGAGGCCCACCGCTCGGCGGTCCCCTACCGGGGAATCCTGTCCCTTCGTTTGGGTTTCGGTAGGCTCTGTCCCGAGGAGGCGGTCCTCCGTGGGGCGGAACAGCCGGCGGTGGAGCGTACGATCCGTGGTCCGACTTGATCTGCGTAGCCTGGCGAGGGGCGAATCCCTGCCAGCTTGGTGGCTGGTACTGCGGCATCCCCGAGGCTGGCGCACCGTATCCTTGGTACGTGGGCTGCTGCCCCCGAATCCCGTTGTCGGGGCTGGTTCCGTGGCTGGGCCCCACCAATCTGTGTTCGGCTTCACGTCGGCTGTCGGTGTCTGTTGCGTCGGATACACTGATCGGCGCACTTCTTCCGTGGCTGAGGTCGTCGGGAAGGCGTTTGACGCGCCCTGCACCGGCGGCGGAGCCCTGGCTGTCGATATCGAGGGTTGGCGGTGGGCGTCGGTCTCTCCGAACCACGGACTTTGGTATGGCGGGGACGGCGGCCGCGGCCGTAAATAGTCGGGATATGGTTGGTAGTTCTCGAAGCTGGGCGGAGGCGCGTATGTCGGTTCCGGCTGGAGTGACGTGGTTCGGATGGGGATTCTGGTGAACTGCGGTGTTGGGACAGGAGGAGCGTCCGGTTGTCCGTCTGGTGGTGTCCATATCTCTACGGGTTGGACGTGCGCGCGGAGAGCTGAGAGGGGCTTCGTCGGCTTGGGGTCTATGCGAAATCGAGCCCCGAGATCCTGGGGGAAGTTCCGCCTCGCCGTGGGGTCGTTCGCCATGCGTTGCTTGACCACTGTCATGTAGTCTGGGGTGACTTCCCTTGCCACGCTCGTGCGCGCCAACCACTGGTCTACTGCTGCTCGGGACGATCGCTTCGGTGGTGGTTTTACGTACATGTCGGAGGCTGTTGACGAGGGTGCGACCGTTGCGGGTGCTCGGCCTGAGTGCAGCGTGATCCTATAGTTGAGCATGTCCACGGCCTTCCGTACGCGTCCGCGTAGCGAGTGGAAGAGGTCGAGCAGGATGCTACCGCTGGAGCAGCCTTGGGCGTTGTGAAAGAGGTCTCCCGCCGGGTCGACGTGCCATTCCCTCCAGTGGTTCTCCAGCTGGAACATGTCGTTCACTGCTTGTTCGATGCGGTCTGCAACGTACCAGACGCGGTTGTAAACCTCCGTTCGGAGGGCGAAGCGACGTTCATGCGTTACCGCCTCCTGATGGTCGTGGATTAGACCCTCCGAGAAGTCGAGGGCTATGAACCACCAGGCCTCGTCGAAGACGCTGCCGTACTGACCCGATATGTCGGGTTCCGAGAGAGCGGCCAATATCGCCAGTGCTTCATCCGGCCGGCGCAGGTCGTCCGGCAGGCGACCGTCCGGACCTAGGAGGTGTCTTATGGATCGGCGCGTGAGCCGTCGGTCCGCCTCGTCCGGGTCCTGTTGGTCCGTCACCCGCGTGTCTTCGGATCTGCTATCGCGATGGGATGTTGGTGGGACGGCTAGGTCCCCGCTGCGACGACTGTCTGACGAGCGGGCGCGACGACCTCGATTCTCCTCGTCTTGAGTTGCTTGCGCAGGGCTGGCGGGACTAACGCGTACGTGTGGCGGCGCGTCGCGGCTCGGTGCCGCTTGTGGGTCAGCGGATTTCGCCATTGCCGCTTGTTCTTCCTGCAAGGTGTGCCAGTCCTCTCGAATAGGAGTGTGAGGGTGCGTCGAACCGGGCGTATCCGGCAAGCTGACGACCACTGGCGTCGAGAAGGCGGGCGAATCCGCTGAGAATGGCGTACCAAATGTCGAAGTGACCGGAGAGGCGTAAGTCGACCACGCTGCGGAACGGAGGGGGAACTGGCGGCTAGGTGGAAGACTAGACGGCCGACGGTCGTTAGAAGTAATCTGCGGGGGGATATGAGGGTGGATAGACATGATTCAGTCGTGACATGAATCGAGAGATGTATAGCCGGACGGGTAGGGCTCTGCGGCACGCCAGTGCGTCCACCACTGTGAAGCCCGAGGCAGGTCGGGACGTGCCGGGATGCCCGTCGGGCGAACAGTGCTCCTCGGGACCCTGGAAGCTGGCGATCCAGCGGGGCAGGGAGGAGCGTGAAGCGGGACTCTTAGCGAGTCGCGGTTCGGCGACGACCAGGAGGGCGAGCTTGCTCGGCCTCGGGTCGCGTCCTCGCGAGGCTGGCTACCGGGAGCGGACCTGCAGAGGTAGGACTCTCACCTATGTACAGCGCGGGCGAGCAGCCGTAGCCGGTCAGCGTGGGGAACCGAGACCAGCCTAGCAGAGAGAAAAGGAAAGACAATGCGAAAGAAGATGTATTTCCCACGATGCTACGCCTACGCTATATGCTTGCTTACATAAGCCCGAGGGCGCTACGATGCCTGAAAACATACGGTTCACGACCCAACTCCTCTCGGTGGACCGCTCGGAACATCGTGACGAGCTGGTACTCCAGCTCCCTCACAAGGGGCCATAATACACTTCAGCGCCACGTTGCTTCGTCGGCGGATGTGGAGGTCGACTGCAGTTGACGATGGCTTGACACGCGCACGCAATATACCCACGGCCCTGAGGTTCGGATCCTACATAGGACCCAGCCATGGGAATGCTTCGGAAGCTGGTTTCAGGAACCGGAGTATGGCAGCGAGCTGGCTACGCTCGCGCACCGCAGAGCTGTATTGCTAGTGATGTATTGCTAATAAATCCTCGTGGCGCGCTGCATATCACGACAGTATGTCAGGAATTCCCCGTTTCCACGCACCTTGGCAGAAGCAGGAATACCGCTGTAACGGAGAAGGTCGCGGCGTGTACTATCCCCATCAACATTCCTCGGCCTCAGTCCAGATACACATGTATCATTTACTGTGGAGCGTTCAGATTGCGAGGGAGTGATGAAGTGGTCAAACCATGACTCACCTTGAATTCAGAGAAGCTCTCAGCAAGCCGCCACGCGTTGACAGCCCGTGATTGACCGCACGCATCCGAGAATCAAGATCGTCGCAGAGGATGAGTGTCGTTCGACGGAATAGTGTTCGCTGCATTAAGCTCTCTGGCGCCACATGGTCGTCCGTGGTTCCGGGGAGCGTTGATAACACACTCATTAAGTGCAGTGTCAAATATTTGTATATGAGTTTCCGGCTGTTTCGCGTCGTGGCGCCGATAGAACTGAGGGCACAAGGAATCATGGTAAAGCATAAACCATCATGTAGAGAACAGAGCCTAATGAGTGGGAAATCACGTTTCGAACGGTCCACCCGGAGTGCATTTGGCCCGTTTGGAACGGTGGACCCGGGCTCGGCCGGAGCACTCCGGGTCCACCGTTCGGAGCGGCCGCCGGCAGCAAAGAACCGGCCGGAGGTAGGGTGGTGGTTAGGAATGGTCCGGCCGGCCTGTGGTGTAACGTTCCGGCCGGACCTCAGGCGAACGACCCGGCCGGAGGCCTCGAAAAAATAGGCTTCCTACGGTCCGGCCGGACACAGACCCAGCGTTCCGGCCGGACCCCTTGTCAACGACCCGGCCGGAGGCCTCGAAAAAAATAGGCTTCCTACGGTCCGGCCGGACACAGACCCAGCGTTCCGGCCGGACCCCTTGTCAACGACCCGGCCGGAGGCCTCGAAAAAATAGGCTTCCTACGGTCCGGCCGGACACAGACCCAGCGTTCCGGCCGGACCCCTTGCCAACGACCCGGCCGGAGGCCTCGAAAAAATAGGCTTCCTACGGTCCGGCCGGGGCTCATATCAATGATCCTGCGGGCCAAATCGGCACCAGAATTGTCAAGGGCAATCATCCAGACAACGTGACATCACATGAGATGGCGCATGCATGAACCAGCACCTAGCCGGGGTCACTTGAGCACTGACAACATCACATGCCTACAAACATGAGGCAAACACATGGTCACCACATGTTGCCCATCAGGTCCTCCACATCGTGCAAACTTGTCGCGCAACTCTTCTCCAATCCCCCCCACTCTCCAACATGACTACCGCACAGATCAGCACCCAATTTCGTTCCTACCTGAAGGGGACATATTTACACTGGCTGTCTCGCATGCAGGAGGGCCAGGCGATGAAGCCCGAGCCACTTCCAGGTCTCTTCCTGGATGTGTATATGATACGCCAGGCGACGAATGCTGGCAAGATGTTAGCTCAGGCTTATTGTAACCGAAGTGAGCTTCCATTGACCGCCATCGTAAGCTTGGCTAACACTCCACTTGGAGGGAGCGTTGAATGGGACGCATTGACTTATCCGATGACAACACCGAGCGATGAAGAAGCCGAGAACGTACAGTACGAGGCGTGCAAGGAGCCTGCGACCATCGAGGATAGCGCCGGCCGGATTCTTTTGTGGCATCTCCCCGGCGTAATCACACCGTACTACCAGGTATGCGAGATCGCCAGGCAGACATCACACCGGTTTTTAACAATCAAGCAGCAGTTCATATGGGACACCGCAGGTCAACTGGAACCGCTGTTCCTCCGCTACCCCCCCACCACCACCGAGAAGTGGAGACAAGATATCAACAACTACCGCAATGCGGATGAATGTCCAATCTTCCCGCCGTCATGCTTGTCTGCCTCGCCCGGCTGGTTTCAGCAGGGTCATACGGTGGGCATCCATGGCGTACTGATCATCATATGTTGTATTAATCCGCAACAGGGTACTACAGGTCCACCCCAGGTATCGCGGCTGCTGAGGGAACCGACCTCGCTCGCCCGACCGTGGCTCTCGGCGATGGAGCACCCCCATATCATCCTCTCGGCGATGCTCGAGATACTCCATCCGGACCTCTATGCAAGTGGGTGGCGTCGATCAATGCACTGCGCAACGACCCGGACCGCGCTAGCGTCGCCGAGATATGGAACACGCCATTCAACGCCTTATCGGTGATTGCCAACCGGGCCAGTCCACTTCACCGAGACGTACTCTCGGCGAAGCACTGGTACGATATGATTCTCACGCTCGGCGGAGACAAGACCTTGCATATGGAGTATCCTACTTTGGGAATGAAGATGCCATACTACAGTGGCACTATGGAGGTATTTTCTGGCTGTCGCATACCTCATGCCGTACGGCAATCGACCCAGGAGCGCTTGTGCTTATCTTACTATATGCGTGAGGCGGTACATGCATGGACAAACGCTCCCCCGGCGGATTGGCGGATGGACTCGGAGTAGCTGTATAACCTTACACTGTGTTTACAATATATATGGAACTGTTGATGTGCTCGGCGGTTTCATCTTCACAATAACTGTACAGGTATAGCAGACAGTCTGGCCTAGCCAGCTGCCTTGCTGCCCAATCGTTCTGCCGGTGTTTGATTCGGCCGGCCGGGGCACATAAGAACATGAAAGCCTTCCCTGTCATATCACGAGATGTAAATACCGGTGCCAATACGACTGTACACTAATGGGACATCCCGACTATCCATCATGCGACTCTGAGACAGGACGGGGTGGCGAAGAGCCCGCCGCGGCACTCGGCGCTTCTCCTGGCTGCAAGACCGCTAACTCGGCCGCCTTCACTCGGTCCACCGCCCGCCAGTAATCCACCTCTGCCTGGATGTATAGATCCATGCCGGCCATCGATTCGCCGAGACTGTCCAACCAATTCAGGGCTTGGACTGGCACGTTTGGGGGCATGTTCTCCGGTGAGATCACACCTGGCTCGGGTATTTTTGGGAGCACAGGGAGGTGGATGCGGTCGGTGTGAGCTCTCACTTCGTCCTAGTTTTTATTGTATAAGTCCATGTAATGTGAATGTGCTGTGTAAAACCTACCCGGAGCTTCTCCACATGCAGCCGGCCATCAAGATGCTGGAGTTGCTGTTGGGCGGCCTTCAATTGCTCGGCGACCATCTCTTGGATTTTGGCCTGCTCGGTCGTGATGTCATCGAGCGCATCTTCGATTTGATCCCGGACTTGAGGCGGATCTTCCATCCAGGCACCGACCTGCCCCTCTGTCGTGGCATGAATATCCGGAAGGCCGGAGAGAATTGGTCAGTTACCTGTTCCCAGAGTGCTCGGCGTGCAGCGAGGATGTCTCCGGCTGCGGCGGTTGAGCGACATCCGCCGCTCGGAAGCCGAGGATCATGTCCACCAGGACCTCCTCCTGGGTCTTACCCTCCGGCAGCATGATCGTGCAGTACTTGTCCATCACTTCCCCGAGACCCAGTTCCTCGGCCACATCGGGCTTCATCAGCCGCTCGAAGCCGAGCATCATGGCCGCCAGCGACTAGTGCATCAGTGGTTTACTATTGGT